CATGGTGATAAATACTATGGCAGATATGACGGATCAGGATAACAGTGTCTAGTGCGTTTTGCTAAATTTTTAGAAGAATGTGGAATCGACCCATAGTACACCATACCAGGGTCCCCTAGCATGAATTGTGTTACTAAGAAACGAAACAGAACACTTAAGAATATGGTAAGGAATATGATTAGTCATTTCACCTTGTCAGGATCTCTCTAGGAAGAATCACTAAAAACTGCAACTTAAATTCTCAATAAAGTTTCAAGTAAAGCAACTGTTAAAAGATTATAAATTTTTAAAGATCCTCCTATTAAGTTAATTTTTCAAAATGAAATATGTCTGATTCTTTGAGGATGTAGAGTTTGCAGGGGAAGATAAGGTTTTAAGGTTAATGATTTTATCTTTAAAGAAGAATATGTATATATCCCTTCTGCTACAATTGATAATGATCAGGATTATGGATAAATTCTTGCTTCAAATCTTGTTCAAGATGTAATTTCGAATTAAGACAATATTACAAAACTCCCTATACACAATCAAGAAATGATTCCAAAAAAACAAACTCAAGAATAAATATCATTAAGGAAATCTAGTAGAGAAATAAGAAGGGAAATTTCAAATTACTTTATTGTCTTTCTCCAAAACCATCACGATGGCATTAGATTGATGGAAAAAGATCTAGTCAATCATTTTTCATCAAAACATGCAAATGAATATTTCTCAATAGTGGATTGATGCAATGAATAAAGGGATAAAATCCATGAAAGTCAAGGACATTTGGGAACTCATCCCATCGTCTGAAGGTGCGAAGCCCATTGGCTATAAATGGATATTTAAAATCGAGAAAGATTTGAATGATGATGTGGAGAGATATAAAACTAGTCTTGTTGTAAATGGTTCTACTCAAAAAGAAGGCATTAACTTCAAAGATATTTTCTCTCCAGTTTCTATGAAAGACTATTTTAGGACTGTTATGACACTTGTGACAGATTTTGATCTTAAGCTATATCTGATGGTTTACAATTAAAGAAATTCATCTATGGGTTTAAGCAAGCTTTCCATCAATGATATCACAAATTTCATCAAATAATTATCTCGTTTGGTTTTGAGATGAATTCAATTGATGATTGTGTATATCACAAGTTCAATATGAGTAAGCATATTTTTTTGGTATTTTATGTCAATGGCATACCGCTTGACTGCAATGATATAGGCCTTTCGCATGAAACCAAGAGATTTCTGTTGTGGAATTTTGAAATTAAAGATCTTGGTGACGTTTCTTTTGTATTAAGGATGCAGATACACCGAGATCGTTCTAAGGTATTTTTGGATTACCACAAAAGAGTTATATCGATAAGGTTCTTAAGAGATTTGGAATGTAGGAATGTAAACCAGGTTATACCCTTATTGCTAAGAGAGATAAGTTTAATATTAATCAATGCCCTAAGGATGAACTTAAAGAAAAGAAAATACGAAAAATTCCCTATGCTTCACTAGTTGTGAGTTTAATGTATGCTTAGGATGATCCAGATATAGCATTCATTGTTAGAATGATGAGCAGATACTTAAGTAACTCTGAGATGGATATTTGGCAAGCAGCTAGCAGGTTATTCAGTATTTATAGAGAACTGAGAATTAAAGATCACATTCAAGAAACCAAACCATTTTGAGACATTGGATATTCTGATTCTGATCATGAAATATGACTACAGAATTTTGTTACTAGGCTACACAATTTTGATGGAATTGAAAGACGACTTATGTTATTCCGTAACAATAGCAGTCTTGTATTCGAACAAAAGCTCGATGATATCAAAGTTTATAAACATTAAGTTTCTAGCTGTTAAAGAAAAAGTTCTAAGTGATCGAGTTTCTATAGAGCATATTAGGAAAAACTCCATGATTATGGATCCGTTTACTAAAGAACTATCATTCAAAGTCTTTCATGAGCATATTGCTTATATGGGTGTTGCAACTTTTGATGATATGGTAGTTTAGCGGTTGTTTGTATTTGGATGTTATCTAATTTAGACAAATATTTTTTATCCATAGATATTCATATTATTTTAGAAATAAAGTATTCACTTCATTTTCACTCAGATTAAAGTTTTTGGTTCGATCTCATTAAAGAATAAGTTAGAACCAGTTGGAAATAGGCATGTTTGGATCACATTACATATAATTTTCATGCTATACATCCATATTTGGTCTATGTCATTTGATTGTGTTGATATATGTGACCATTGGGGATTCAATTATGAAAATGTAACGAAAGTCTCTTTGGTCCTATATTGACATAATTGATGGACATGATTGTTTGGAGATCCTTTTGGTTATGATAGCAAAACTTTTGAGCTCATAAGGTTATATACATTTATAAGATAACATATGTAACTCAAGTGGGAGATTGTTGGAAAAATATTTAATTTCTTATGTGGGCCTACATATATAATTAATTGTTTATAAATGTTATCTTAAAATTAAAAACGTTTAAAGTGATCTAATAAAAGTTATTGGACTTTGGGCATCTAAATAAAGTGTGGGCTAAATATGTGTAGAGATTGGATCCATTAGGTATGTATTTGACAATGAACCGAATACATGTGGAGATATAAATAGGGTTATAATCCTCAATTCACATGTGATTCTCATTTTTTGTGTCATCTCATCAAACAAAAGTACAAGAGAAAACATGTTGAAGAGGAAGATTCAAATATCCACAATCAAGATCAACAATCAAGATTATAAAGCAAAAAGACATAGTCAAGAACAAGAATTCAGAACCAAATGAGGTAATATTCAAGATTAAAGATTAAGAAACCAAACACGACGAGATTGCGATTGATCTTCAAAATTCAAAATCTGAAATCAAGATCCAGTAATAAATAATCATTCCCAATAAATTAAAGTATGTTCCGCATTTAATAATTACGTTATTGATTTGATTGGAGGATTTTGACAATAAAATAATTAGGTTTTCAAGTTCTTAAGATTTAAAATTTTAATAAAATATAACATTTAATACCCGATAAATTAATAATCTCGATTGAATAATATATTTGGATGGTCCCACTTGGAATAACATGCAAAAATTAATAATTCTTAGATGTTATAAATTAATATTACAAAAATTCATATAGATCCCACCTACTGTATAACTTAGAGAGTGTCTGAGCCCCATTTTTTGAAAGAATGGTTCTCTAATAGTGATTATTTTAGAGAATGAGCCGTTAAAAAATAAGAAAATGTTTTAAATTTATGTGTAGAATTATTTTGCTTAAAAAAATGTATGATTGAAAATAAATTTTGATGTAATAAGGCTCAAATGGAGACTTAATAATTTCCTTGGTTATGATTTGACCATGAGGCTTTCCTAAAATGTGATTCAATCATTAATTTTTTCTTCTTGAAACTGATCTCAAAGTCAATCTAATCTCTAATTTTTTTAATGAGTACTTGTGCGGTTTATTCATATTACAACAAAAAATTATTCAATGTTATCTAATTCTGGAAAATATAAGCAAATTCATTGTTAAAGAAATACATAAGAGTTATTTGTTCGTAAAATGAGAAATTAAATACAACGTACAATATTCAATACATTAAGGAATACCTTGATCTCCAGGCTATTATAATTTATAAACGTTTAAATGTACTTGTGATGAAAACAAGCACGAGAGATCTAAAGAAAAGCGGTGGGGACTTTGGAGATCCTAATGAAAAGAAAAATTGAAAATGTAGAAGGCCTCGTAGTTGGAAATGTGACGCTTTATTTAGCAAAAATATTTTTCCCAAACCTGTGCGTAATTTTGAAATAGTTCAGCCGTTGCTTTTTGTTCGCTAGGTTGACGGGTATCATCGAACCTTGTTGATTCATCGTGTTTCGTACTTGCTTTTCTATTTCTTCTCAATTTAAACTATGCGTCTCAGTACCGTGGCAAAATTAATAGTGCCTAATTCATAACATATAATTACGGGCAAGAATAGAATAAGGGAGATACTACGTGTACACACGACTTTACACCCCCTCACATGGAGGGGGGCCCACACACAATAAAATATTCGTGGCCCCCCTCCATGTGAGGGAGGTGTAAAGCCACGTACACCATGAGGTGTACACATAGCATTTTTCATAGAATAATGAAGCTAGATTTTTTAAAACTAATACGATTCTTTATTTTAATGAGTAAAATAATTTATCTGAACGGATGATCACCGTGACACTAATTGATAAGAACAATAAAGTGAGTTAGATATCTATATATTTAAACCATATTTGAGATCTATTTTCAAAATTTATTTTTTCCTCGAAACTCATTTTTTACCTCATATTCTTCTATAAAATAATCCAGCACGTAAATTTAAATTTCTTTCCTACTTTTTAACTATCCATTCTAAAAATAAAAATTATTATTAAAAAAATGAGGCTTAAACATGGGCTTAATAAGCCTTATCGGATAAGTAGAGTTATTCTATTTTTCAATTGGAAAACAAGCTTTTATTGACGTTTGAAAAGTCTTACTAACATTAAGTGCATTAAATTAAATAAAAGAAAAAAACTTATTGCAAACTAACCAGGAAATTTGCCCCGGTTTTTGTTGTTTCTCTACCAATATTTACTTCATAGTATTGCAACGGTGCAACCTAATACCTTATTGTTGGCCAAGCATTGATGATTGAACAACTCAAGTACTTGTGCACTTGTGCCTACTGAATATAGTTTCAACCCTTTCCTAATAGGACTTAACTATGTATTTTCATAAATTTTAATGCGTGCTTAATAATTTTAACGTAGTACAACTCGGAAAGGATTAGTTCAATTCTTTTTCTGTTAATCTCGATTTGATCAATCCCATTTGGAGAGGGATTCTGTATCTACCCCTATTTATACACCTTGTTAATATCCAAAATTTGCATGAAACAGTTTTATCATATATATCGGCAAAACATACCCTACTTATGCTGTGTTTTTGTTGAGAGATATAGAGTGAGAAAGTGGAATATTGTTCATGGCTGAGTTAAATGAGGAGAATTTGGCCACGGATTTGGCTGATTCCGATGAATGTCCGATCAAACAGGTGGATTTAACGGTGCCGAAAACTGACGATCCAAACATGCCCACATTCACATTCAGAGTGTGGGTTCTTGGAATCGTTACCTGCGCCATACTTTCCTTCGTAAACCAGTTTTTCTGGTACAGAACTGAGCCTTTGACAATCAGTTCGATTTGTGCACAGGTGGCCGTCGTGCCAATCGGGCGTCTGATGGCAAGATCTGTCACGAAACGTGTTTTCTTGAAGGATACTAGATTCGAATTTACGATGAATCCAGGGCCTTTCAATATTAAAGAACACGTGTTGATTACTATACTAGCCAATTCTGGGGCTGGAAGTGTTTATGCTACACATATATTGAGTGCAGTCAAGCTTTATTACAAAAAGAGTTTCAGTTTCGTTCCTGCATTGCTTGTGATGGTAACCACTCAGGTAATAGATTTTCTTTTTTGATTTGGCTGCTTCATCGGTTGATTATGATTTCTCTGGGAAAATATAACTTAAATATATGCATAGGAACCTAATAAGTGTGTATGTCTGTCTGTCTGTCTTAACTGTGTAATTTTCTTTTGATTTTTTTTTTTTTTTTTTTTTTTTTTTTTTTTTTTTTTTTTTTTCTTTTTTTTTTGGTTTTTTTTTTTTTTTTTTTTTTTGTTTTTTTTNGTTTTTTATTGAAGTTTTAGAAGTATGTGGTTGAAAATATGTGGATCCCATGAAATATGTTGCTAAAATACCTTTTGTGAAACGAACAAACTACAGGTTCTGGGATTTGGCTGGGCTGGAGTTTTTAGGAAACAATTGGTCGAACCGGGAGAGATGTGGTGGCCAAGTAATTTGGTTCAGGTCTCCTTATTCAGGTACGCGCTGATTAGACTATCTAAAGACAGATTTTGACTGTACAAAACTGATTGTATAATTTTTTGTTGTTGAAGGGCTCTTCATGAGAAAGATAAGAGACCTAAGGGTAGAACGACCCGGACGCAGTTTTTCCTCATAACTTTAATAGCTAGCTTTGGTTACTACATTTTCCCTGGGTATTTTTTCACAATGTTAACTTCACTTTCCTGGATATGCTGGATTGCCCCAAAATCTGTCTTTGTGCAGCAATTGGGCTCAGGATTAGGAGGTCTTGGAATTGGGGCCTTAGGATTTGATTGGTCGACCATTTCATCCTTCCTAGGAAGTCCTCTTGCAAGTCCATGGTTTGCTACTGCTAATGTTGCTGCAGGTTTCTTCCTCGTCATGTACGTTATGACACCCCTAAGTTACTGGTCTAACGTCTACAATTCCAAGAACTTCCCGATTTTCTCTGAAGATCTTTTCCAGTTAAGTGGTGCAAAATACAACACTTCGGCTATCATTGGTTCCAACTTCAGCCTCGATAGAGCTGCTTACAATAAATCTGGTCCGTTATATTTGAGTACTTTCTTTGCCATGACATATGGAATTGGATTTGCCACACTTTCTGCAACACTTGTACATGTTTTACTCTTCAATGGAAGGTAACACTTACAGCTCTTTTGACATTTTGCGCATCAAATGCTAGAATGTAGCTTGTACTTGTTCCTTTGGTTGCTGTATTTTGTTTATCGAAATTTTCTTGTGCTAATTGTGCAGTGATATATGGAGGCAAAGCAAAAGTGCATTTAAAAAGAGTAGGAAAATGGATATACATACCAGGCTTATGAAGGAGTATAAGCAGGTTCCTCTGTGGTGGTTTCTCATTATCCTTGTAGTCAATATTGCACTCATCCTTTTCGCTTGTATGCATTATGAACGCTCGCTCCAATTGCCATGGTGGGGCGTTTTCCTTGCGTGCGCCATCGCCTTTGTGTTCACTCTTCCTATTGGTGTAATTACTGCCACTACAAACCAGGTACTAATTGTAAATTTCACGTGTTATGATCATGCGGAAGAATTTTTATTAATTTTCATTTCGGAATATACAGACTCCAGGTCTAAACATCATCACAGAATACATAATTGGTTATGCATACCCTGGGCGTCCGGTGGCAAACATGTGCTTCAAGGTATATGGATATATAAGCATGACTCAAGCTCTCACCTTTGTTCAAGATTTCAAGCTTGGTCACTACATGAAAATCCCACCAAGAGCAATGTTCTGGGCGCAGGTTCGTATTCTTTTCCATGTTTGGTAACTAGTTTTAAACAGTACCGAATTCTGAATGCTAAATGAATCTAATTTTCCAGGTGATTGGGACTCTGCTTTCAGTCGTAATATACACAGGAACTGCATGGTGGTTAATGGAAACCATTCCCCACCTTTGTGATACAAACTTGTTACCACCCAACAGCCCCTGGAAGTGCCCAATGGACCATGTATTCTATGATGCATCAGTTATTTGGGGACTAGTTGGACCTCAAAGAATCTTTGGCAACCTCGGAGTATACCCTAATATCAACTGGTTCTTTCTTGGAGGGGCCGTTGCACCGTTGCTAGTATGGTTGGCGACAAAAGTATTCCCAAAACAGAGATGGATTGGCCTCATCAACATGCCTGTTGTGTTAGGCTCTACAGCCATGATGCCTCCTGCTTCTGCTGTCAACTACACAAGTTGGATTCTTACGGCTTTTGTGTTCGGATTTGTTCTTTTCCGGTACCGGCAGAGGTGGTGGCAACGCTATAATTACGTCTTGTCCGGTGGCCTTGATGCAGGAACTGCTTTTTCTACACTCTTGCTGTTTATTGCACTGCAATCCAGAGAAATTGGCGTTTCTTGGTGGGGAAATAATTTAGATGGATGTCCACTGGCTTCTTGTCCAACTGCTAAAGGAATCTCGGTTGATGGATGTCCTGTTGTTCAGTAGAATAACTCCTTTATTTTTCTTATGTCTTGAGCGTTTTCTTTCAACATTATGAACCCTTTTTTTCATTTTAGATTGCTTGTGAATTTGAACTTTTCTTTTCTTGTAAATATGATGATTTTTTCAGTTTGGTACATATATGTTTCTTATTTTTCTCGATTTTGCTTCAATTTAACATGTTCGACTATGATCCAACAGTTTATGAATTTATTGTGAACAATACTTAGTTTACTCACGTTATTGTTTAATATCAAACACAATCCCATCTATATTGTTGATAAGTAAGCATCACTGAATTTAAATTAATCACTGAACCGAATATTCAACAATACCAAATAAGAAACTTGAACAAGACGTGACTCTTAGTGAAATGGTACAATCTCAAACACTAAATTGTGTCCAATCTAAACGATTATGTGATCTAACGACTAAATAGATCCATTTCAAAAGGTGTGAATGTACACAAAATGTTCATAAAAGTAATTGTCAAGCATCACAAATTAACACACTGTTTGATGCACATTATTCTTCTAAGAATGCATTTTAAATAGTGATGTGATAGAAAATATGTGGTTAAAAAATAAGGAAAAGTTTTGAATTTCGTTTAATATTATTTTATTGAAAAATGTGTGGTTAAAAATAAAAAAAAATGTATTTTTAAAAGAATGGATATCAAACATGGTGTAAATAAAAAAAAAATACATGTTTATAATTAGAAGGGAAGTGTACGACAATTTCAAAGCAATCAAATGCATTTTTTTTTGGTTCACCAGTCATGTATTGTATTAATGCCGAAATAAGTATCATATCTTGAGAAATAAAAACCCGTTTTGTTAATAACAATCCATGAAGCGAAGTAGGTTTTTTATCTCCTCAAAATCCTGATTTTCGTACATTATATTCTATTTATTTTCCAACAGACCATGCAACTAATAAAGGGACAATTACATTTGATGTTCTCAGAAATAATAAAAAAATGTAACCTTCATTTTAGCATAAATGAATATCACAATTAAAAAAAAAAAATTAAATTTTTTTTTGAACTGTTCAAGAAGTACATTCAACTGAGCTAGAATTTTGGCAGCATAAGATTTTGCATCACTGCTTCGTCTCTGAGTAATATCTGTGAGTATTGTGGTCCTCCTAACACTATTGGGTTGGTGCTATTTGTGTCATTTGGTATATGACTTATTATTCTTGGGCCTTAGCTGCTTAGTTGTCATTCAACTACTAGTAGCTTTGGTATTGACCCGGATTGTGTTAGTTTGATTTAATTGTGACCCTTGATGGAGATCAATGGTTGGGATTAAACTTGGCTAGATATTTTCCTTATATTCACGTGGGTTCACTACTTTTGAGACTTCTTCCTTCTTCGAGACTCTTCGAGACTCTTCTCTCTGACTCCCGTTTCTGTCTTCTCTCTGCCTCTACGATTTGAGGCTGTCTTCCTCCTTTCTTCTTTTGGCCACATAAAATTGATCTTTAGTCCATTAATTGAAGAGATTCATGTGTGTTCTTAGGCCTGAAATAGTGGCTAAGGGTTGGGTCTTCTTGGGGGCTTAGGTCAGTGGTTTTTGGCGTTATTCTTGGCTGCAGTTGGTAGACCATTTGGTCAATAATCCAAGCCAAGTGGGAAGCATTCTTTACCGGTTCTTGTGCTCTCTCTGGAGGGCAATTTGCAAGCGTGTGAGG